CAATAAATCAAAAAATCAGCCGGGGGGGTAGCGCGCGCCTGTAATTCCAGCTACTCGGAAGGTGAGGCGGAAGGATCGCCGGAGCCCAGCAGGCGAGGCTGCGGTGGCCGGGAGCGGCCACTGCACTCCAGTCTGGCGACAGAGTGAGACTCCAACTCAAAAAAAAAAAAAAAAAAAAAATTTGCCTCCCCAGCAGCCTGTGTCCCAAACTCTTTAGTCCTTTTCCTTCCACTCTGTACTTGGGAGATACGTGTCGTGCTCTGGAGAGCAGATCTGCTGGCAGTGAGCGCCAGAGATGTGTAGAAGCCAGCCTGAGGGAACCCGGTTGTGGTGGTGGTGGGGGCTCTCTCTCGTCCGGCTGTGAGTGGCCCCTGGACTGAGGCCTTGAGAGGACAGCTTTCCACAGTTTAACACAAATGAACCACGCCATAAGGGCGATCTGCTCTCATTTCACTCTGCTAGGATTTAGTGAGTACTGTTGTTAAAGCACAGTTTGCACTGGAGTAATTGGGGATGGAGTTTGCCCGTCTCAATCTGTGCACAATCTGTTAGCCGCTAAAAACAAATGTTAGTAGTTATAATTACCGTCATTTTGTCTCCAGACTTGGATCACATTCCAGGTGTTATGAGAGATGGTCCACTTCCTTTCCTTTCTCCTTTATGTCCCATGTCCTGATTCCAGTAGCTTCAGAGGGCAATGAAGATTCACCATATATATATATGGGTTCAAGACGCTTTTGCAGTTTGTCTGCGAATTCACTTGAACTTTGCCGTTCCAAGTTAGAAAGAGCTTGCGAGATGTGGCCTCTTCTAAGAACACTGTTGAATTGGTGCCATGGTAACGTTTGCAAAGTAGCTACTGCTAGGATACAGCTATGACACTTGTTACATTATTTGCATATCAAACCACCTGCTCCAAAGATGAAAATATTACATGACTGCATATTCTAGTCTGGGTAAAAGGGTACTGACTGAGTGAATGCGTTGGGGTTTCTCTCCCTCCGGCTATGAGAATCAAGTTCGAAGGCCCTACTCCTCAGTGTCTTCCTCTTGGTCTGGAGTGGGCGCCAGGCTCGGTGGTTTTGCTGACTGTGCCGGTGCCACGGCCTCTCTTGGGAGGCTTGCTCTCCTGTGAGAAGGAGCAGAGATTCACTTCCCAGAGGAGGACGCTTTGTACTAATAGGCCCACTGTCCCTGTGGGGGAGCTCTTTATTCTGTCTAAATCTAGGTTATGTGTTAGCAGTCTCCCTCTTAGAAATTCCCCAGGAGACGCTTTTTGATATATGTGGTTCCGTCCATTTAGGGCAAGTTTTGCTCCTGGATCAGCTGTGGCACTTTCTCTGTGGCTGATGGAAGAGCCACTCATCCTTCCCCATTCTTTCCCCTGTCCCCGGCACCCCACACCATCTCCTAGACACCAGAAACACAGACAGTCAGGCCCCATTGTGCCTGCACTTGCCTATTCCCTCATTCCTCTTCCTTGGGCCGCTTGAAGGAGTGAGTGATGATCACCATTAGTTGCTGCCACAAGTTTTTAAGCTGTATACTCTAAAAGTAACTTGGCAGGGATCAGGAGCACCCAGGCACCTGCTGCCATCTGGCAGCCTCGCCACTCTTAACTTATATCAGTTGTTGAACTTCTCTACAACACAACTATCTTTTCTTGTGCAGCGGTACCTTCCAGAGTGGATATTTCATTTTGATCTCTGTGCTTTCTATGAGTCTCCGGTGCATTTAGGAAGTCCTCAGCTGGCTGTTTTGGGTTACATTTTCCTCCATGCATTCTCTGGCCATGGTCCCTGCTGCATCCTGTCCCTTCCCCGGCCATGTGCCCTTGGTCTCACTTCTTGCCTCCATTTTCATCGCATGTTGTAACTGAAGGCGCTTGTAGACATAAAACTGACAGCTGATCCTTACAGCGCATCTTTTATTTAACTCTAATAAATGATACCATTTGAAATATTACTTTTAAAAGTATTACTTATAAAAAGCTGTTATGATAGTTCTGTAAGAAAGTACTAGCTATATGACAGGTTCCAGTAATGGGAAAAGACGAAAAATAGTCCCATAATCGTCTGTGCCATCATTGCGTCTGAATTGTGTGCCTTCAATGGTGGGTTTGATGCTCAGTAAATGATACATTAAAGAAGGTGAAACAAAGAAAAGAAACATGAGTCTCTATCCACTAGTATATTTACCAACTGCATTTTAGGGTGACTTTAGGAATAGGCAACTCCAAGTAGCCATGGTAGGGTCTCACTCTGTCTTCCAGGCTGGAGTGTATTATGATCACAGCTCACTGCAGGCTCTACCTCCTGAGATCAGGTGATCCTTTTACCTCAGCCTCCCACTCCCAAGTAGCTGGGGCTACAGATGTGTGCTACCACACCTGGCTTTTTTTTTTTTTTTTTTTGTAGAGGTGAAGTTTTATTATGTTGTCCAGGTTGGTCCTGAGCTTTTGGGCTCAAGCAATTCTCCTGCCTCAGCCTCCTAAAATGCTAGGATTATAGGCATGAGCCACTGCACCTGGCCAGCCATGATTTTTTAAAGGTAGGTGTCTGTCAGATGCAGGAAGACTCCAAGGAATGTTGACTTTGCAAAGCTCCATTTGGGTTGCACAGAATGACTTTTAAGACTGAATTTTGTCACGAGGAAATGAAAGGCCATGCCCATGGCTCCTGTTCACAGTACTTACTGCTAAGTTGATATGAACAGGAGAAGAGATCCTTGGAAGAAATGTCTACCTTCCTAGACTCTCTTCTTCCATCTTCTTTTGTTAATCTGCTATGTTTCATCTTTGTTCAGGTGAGTTATGATGTATATTCCTTATAAGTGGCGTTATGAAATTATAATTTAAAATATTTGCAAAGGTCACACTCTCCTACAATGATCTATATTTTAAAGAGACCTTTACTGAGTTTGACACTTCAGAAATTGCTAATCTGT